ATATATATATATATATATATATATATATATATATATATTTGTACGTGGCACGTGTCAACACAAATTTGTGTCGTGTCTGATACGTGTCTAAACAGGTAAATTTGTGTTTGACAAGTATAAGACACGAAACACAAATTCAAGATACATGTTAGACACGAATAAACACGAAACACAAATTTATAAAACAAATATGGAAAACTCGTATCGTGTTCGTGTTATGTTAATCGTGTTGTGTATCAAATTGGCAGGTCTAGTATTTAGATCTGTTTCCATATTTGAATTATTTTTAAGTTGGCTGTAAAACAAGTTTATATGCGTTGTAAAAAAGTTTAAAACTCAAAAAAAAAAAAAAAAAAAAAAAAAAAAAAAAAAAAAGGTTGTAGAAAATATGAATCAACGTTGTAAACTAAATTCTATTATAAAATGTGTAAAAACAAATTGTACAAAAGATGTCAAAAGTTGTAAAAAAAATTGTAGAACGGATCGCAAAAAAGAAAGTTTAAAAAGTTAATACAAAAAGTTGTAATTTTTTTTTTATAAAATGTTTTACAAAAAGTCTTTAAAAAATGCAAAGAAAAACTACTTTTCAGACGAATTTGTAAATAAAAAGTTGAGTAAATTACACGAATCGTCCCTCGTGCAAGTACCAAAATGCACGTTCAGTTCCTATTTTCAAAAATTAACTCGGACCGTCCCTGAATAAACGTTTTTTTGTCCCTACAGACATAAAATGACTATTTTACCCTTAATAATTTCTTTTTCAATTTTATTTATTTATATATCATTTTTAAATTAAAAAGAAAATTAAAAAAAAAATATATTGACACAAACCCGCCCATCCCTCCCTTTCCCAGATTCGCATCCTTCTCATTCACACCCATTCGTCTTCATCTCCATCGATCAAACAACCTCCCCTTCCGGCGACCCCTGAACCTCTCACTACCACCGTCTAATATGTTCGCCGGCAACCCTGAAGCCACTCCGGTGAGATCATGAAACCGAAGGTTCTACTTCCACCTCCAGCCACCATCTGATTTGGAAACCTTCACCATCTAAAACCAAATTTATCTATGACACTCATGCCAGAACAAGATTTGCAGGTTCCTAATGCATCATCGCCGCCCATCTACTTGTCGATTTCATACCGAAAATGATGATTTCACTAGATTTGAAGGGTTTGGTTTCATAAAAACCCCAAATTGACCCCCACTGGAATTGAATCAAGAAAAATCCCAAAAGCTGATTGTTTCAGAATTTGATGCTTTACTCGAGTTTCCAGCACATCGAAGACGAAAAAAGAACATCCCTTATTTTGTCGACTGTAATGGGGAAGACGATGAACACAGTACAACTGGTGAGGTGAGGGTAAATGGCGATGGTTAGCGGTGGTGCTCCATTTCCAGAAGTGGTGCAGATTATAGGTTATGGTGGTGGTTAAGTGTGATGGTTTCAATAGATTTGAAGTTTTTTTTTTTTGGACTGGTTTTCAAAATTGAGTTTAAGGTTTGATTTCTAGGTTTTGTTTGGATTTTGATTTATTTGATATTTGGATTTCATTTGGATTTGATTTCATTGGTTAGTGGTGGTGCTTTGCCGGTGGTTGTTAAAGGTGGACAATGATGCCGACTAGTGGTAGATTGTAGGTGGTGGGTTTGCATATTTCCGATGGTGGCGTAGATTTCCAGTGTGGTGGTAGTGATTAAGTTTTCTTCAACATGTGTGTGTGTGCCTGAGAGAGAGAGAGAGAGAGAGAGAGAGAGAGAGAGAGAGAGAGAGAGAGAGAGAGAGAGAGAGAGAGAGAGAGAGATTTCCTGATAAAAATAATTTTTAATAATAATAATAATAATAATAATAATAATAATAATAAATGTAAAAATAAATGAAAAAGAAATTAAAAAGGGCATTATAGTCATTTCATGTCTTACAAGGGATGAAACGTGCAAATTCAAACTAACAAGGGATGAAGCGTGAAACTTTTTACGATATGAAGAACGGTCCGAGTTAATTTTTGAAAATAGGGACTAAACGTGTATTTTGGCACTTGCATGAGGGACGATTCGTGTAATTTACCCTAAAAAGTTTGGACAAAAAGTATAATAAAATTATGAGTAAATTACACGAATGGTCCCTATGGTTTGGGATAATTTGCACGTTTGGTCCCTAATTTATTTTTTTAACTCGGAAGGTCCCTGTTGTTTGTTATTGTTACACGTTTGGTCCCTATTATTTGTTTTTGTTACGCGTTTGATCTTTATCTTACGTAAAAAGACAATTATTTAAATAGAGAAAAAAATGTAGGGTAGGTAAGGTAAGGTGAGGGGTGGGGTTGAGGGTGTGTTTATTTAAATAAATTAATAAATCAAGGGAAAAATAGATTTTTTATGTAAGACAGGGATCAAACGTGTAACAAAAACAAATATTAGGGACCTTCCGAGTGAAAAAGTATGTTAGGGACCAAGCGTGCAGATTACCCCAAACCATAGGAACCATTCGTGTAATTTACTCTAAAAATTATAAAATTAGGTCAAAAATGTAAAATATAGAAATAACTTTACCCGGCATTTATGTAAAAAAAAGTTGTTTCTATTTTATATAATAAACTCAGTTTATTATCAACTTAAAGACACTGAGAATAATAATTCATAAAAAATTGTGTTAACTATTTTTCAGTTTTAAGTTTATTTCATATATTTACAAAAATAAGATTACTTGATATGAATATTTTAATAAACAAAAAATAAACAAATATTATCTTACGACAATGTTTTTTACCATATGGTATTTGCTTGTTTCATTTTATAGATTTTGATAAGAGCATAAAAAATTATTAAATTTGGTGTTATTGTTTATAAGTTCCAAATAAAAATAAAGCACTTATTTTTTTAATAATTAACGTGAAATTCTAAAAAAGAGAGACAAACATATCAATATTTATATTTTTTTATTAAATGATATATATATATATATATATATATATATATATATATATATATATATAATATATATATATATATATATATATATATATATATATATATATATATATATATATAGTTAATTAATGCATAATGTTGTATTTTTATTTTATAAAACTTTAGTTTTTATAAATATCAAAGTTCATAATTTTCTATGGTCTAAGAATATACATATGGATATGTAGTTACAAAGCATAAAAGAATTATTTGCAAATATATTCTTATGGATTTATTTTGTTCCAAAAACATAAAAATGTCCAAATTTATCATTTTTATACTTTCAAAAAAAAAAAAGTATACATACTGATATATAACTAGAATTTGAATAAAGCTTCTTTGAAATTTTTTGATTTTTAAAGTTACTTGTTAAAAAATTAGTGCTTTTATTTTTATGCAAAATATAGACAAATATGCCAAAATTTATCAGTTCTTTATACTATAAGAAATGATATTCATATGATCATATCAATATCAAAAAGAGTATCCACAATAAACAAGCGATCTTATGTATAGTATTTTTTTATCAAATCAACTTTCTACTAACTTATCAAACACAAAACTTATTAACTTAAACTCTTTTCAATCAATGAACATTTAAAAAAAAAAATATCGTGTATAATTAAATAATTTATCCATTTATGTAGAATATATTATAAAACCACCTCATCTAAATTTGTTATATTTTATAGTCAGTTTTTAAAAATAAAATATTACACGACAAACTAATTTAACTAAAATAACATTACAATACAGAAATACTTAGAAGGTGTTTGGCTTAGCTTTTTAAATGACTTTTGATTTTATCTTTTAGAAAAAGTCTCAAAAGATGTTTGGTAAAGGAAAAAGGACTTTTGTAAATAACTTTTCCCATAGAGTAATTTGAGGGGGTGTTTGAATTAGCTTATTAACTTATTGCTTATAGCTTATTTGTGGTGGGAATAAGCAATAAGCAATAAGCATGGGAAGAGATGCTTATTAAAATTAGCTTATTTAGCTTAATAAGCTGGATTTTATCCAAACACTCAAAGTTAGCTTATTGTGGGAAAAAGCAATAAACACCTCTTTTTTTCCTATCCAAACACCCCCTAAGTCTTTTTGAAAAGTCACAAATACATGACTTTTCCCAACTTTTCACCAGGTAAAAATATTAAATTACCAATATACCCTTCATCTACCCTAAACATGTCTTTTTTTTGTCATTTTACATGTAAAAGTTAAACCAAACATTTTAATTTTTGACTTTTTCCATTCAAAAGTCAATCCAAACACATTTTAAAAAATAACTTTTGTAAAAAATTCTTTTACAAAAAGGACTTTTGCCTCACAAAAGCTAAATCAAACACCCCCTTATGTATATGGTTATATTACATATATAGTTATAAAAAGATACCAAAAAATTATATTATAATGAAAACCAAAATATTTAATATCAAACAATAAAATGAAATATTATTTATCATTGAGTAAAGATGAAGTTAGTTGCATAACTCAAAAAAAAACATTCACTTGATATCCAATCGTTGAATTATTCGATTAAAAAGTATATTTATATAAATATTGGACCTTACCATCAACATCCTATCAAGAGATGCTAATTTGCAAACATTTTATTGCAAACAAGTCAATTGTTTTAGAACAAAAAATAGCTACATGGGGCCTAACAGAATATCATATGACCAACGATAATGAAAAAGAAATCAAGAAAGACTCAACCAAACAAATAATCCAAATTGTTCTAGATTTGTAACCAATTACAAAGTAGAAGGAACATGGCATGTAAGAAAGAACTAACTGAAGCTAGTAAATAAGATACACAGAGGAAACAAGCTAGCAAATGACAGAGTTGGACTAGAAATAAATTTGAAACAGGATAAACCAAAAGCACCCAACAAACCTCTAAAATAAGAATACAAATTGAATCTTAAGCACAAATAGAATCATACCAATCTTAAAAAACCACCATGTTAACTTCTCTACTGAGATTGATTTTTACCTCTTTTTTTTTAAAGATCGAACCTTGTTCTCTCACTTTGCCATCATCACCTTCACGAATTCCTCATAGTTGATCTGGCCATCGCCATCCACATCAGCCTCACGGATCATTTCATCAACTTCCTCATCAGTCAGCTTCTCACCAAGATTTGTCATAACATGGCGAAGCTCAGCTGCAGAAATGAAGCCATTTTGATCCTTGTCAAACACCCGGAAAGCCTCCTTGAGTTCTTCTTCAGAGTCTGTGTCCTTCATCTTTCTTGCCATCAGGTTCAGGAACTCGGGGAAATCAATGGTCCCATTCCCATCAGCATCAACCTCATTGATCATGTCCTGAAGCTCAGCTTCTGTTGGATTTTGTCCTAGAGATCTCATAACGGTTCCAAGCTCCTTAGTAGTGATACAACCTGCATAATGGCAATAAATCATCACTACAATGGAAATAACAAGAAAGAATTCAACACAAACTGATGTCTACAGATCTAAGCACATTCCATCAATACAGTCAATAAGTAATCTTATATTACAGCTTTAAAACAATGCTTTCATCTATTGATTGAGATCCGGCTATAGACAAAAGAATTCTCCGCAGATCGATTCCACAGAACCAACGAAACTGATCAAGTACCAACACTTATTGGTGTTTGATTTTTTACAGAAAGCATAACAATCCCTAACTCGCCCAATTGCATTTTAGGCGTATCAAAATCGCCAATCAGAGATCAGATCTGGTATGAGGAGAAGATTTTGCGCAATATTGTGGTTCATGAACCGCTTGTTCGTATGAAATACGTTAATTCATAGGAAACAAATACGTAAATGGAGAGATCGGAAGAAAGAGCAAAAGAATATCGAAAGAGAGGGAGCTGACCATCTCCGTCCTTATCGAATAGGCTAAAAGCTTCCTTGAATTCGGAGATCTGATCATCGGTAAGCTGATCCGCCATTGCTTTTCAACACAGGAGGAAGGGGAAGATGAAAAATCGTGGTAAGATCGAGGGGGGTGGTGTTACAACTCAGGGACTGCGTTTACGGGGTGATTTTTATATATACAAGTGCAAGGCGATTGTTTGCCACTTTGCCTTGTCCCACCTTTTTACCATCGTACCCTTCTTTGTGAGTTATTTGGGAATTGGGATGTAAGTTGTCATATTCGTATTAGTAGAGTAGTATAGTTACACTTTAAGCATTACTTAATTAAGTGGATGATTATATTGATAAAAGTAAGATATTATTGTATTTGTTGATTGATAAATATAAAATATTGGTACCACTAACTAACTTTAATATATATTGTTGAATGAAAACGTATTATATGACCAAAGTCATATGTAGAAAACATACATAAAAATAAACACGAAAACATAAAGTGAAAGAGTCATACTCAATTGAAGTAGGAATGGAAAAAGGGAAAGTTGGAATGAAATTAGTTATGCAGAACTGCTAATAATAGTTTACAAACTACGTCGAGTTCATGAACGTGGCACGTTTATGCAAGGGTTTGGCGTAAATGTTGAATTAGGTTGTTATTCAAAAAGGGCATCGTATAATTGGAAGACACGACGTGAAATCGAGACACGGCGTGACATGTAGAAAGTACGTTGCTATGAAATACAGACCATTTAACCAGACATGACACGTCTATTAGTTACACAGCACGTTCATGCCGACTCCAAGCATGTATAACATGTTAGAAACATAATTTGTTGGAGAAGAACTCTGGTGATTTTCAGTTTGGAAGAAGGGAATTATTGACGAGGGTACAAGAATTAACCCATTAAGTGGATTAAGGTATCATCTTTCCTTTTGTAATTAGCTAATTAAGCTCAATTAGTGTAAAGCTTGCAAGATTTGTTAAAAATCAAACTGAAGCTTGAATTTATAATACAGTGTTGTTACTAGTATGAGAAAAATGATTATGAGCTTAGTTAACGAATTCTACGTTGGAATTATTAAAGTGGTTAATTAGGGTTATAAACCCTAACTAGTGAAATTAATAGGAATGTGAAATTCAGCTTGTGATTTAATGAATTAATTCACCTAGACGTGAAATACATGAAGCTTAATTACTTTTTGACACAAAGTTTTCAAGTAAAGTTAGTGATCAACTAAGTGATTCTTTTGATTAAGAATGGTAATTAATCTCTTGATGAGTCGAGACAAGTTCCAAGGAGCTTGATATGTTATTTGAATAAGCTTTGGCAAAGAAGATAGATCATGTGCATAGCATTTCTTAATAACTGGTTATGGCTTAGTGATAAGACATAAAATTATACATGTGATACCGTCTTAAATAAATTTTGTATTATGAAAGGGGAGGATATCCCAAGTTGATTATATGAATTCTTTTTGAAGAATAAATATGTGTTCAATAATACATGGTTGAATACTTAATGAATAAAGTATTGAAAAGTGCAATTTATACTCATTGATGTGTTCATATGCTAAATTGTTTTTGCCATGGGTAAAGTATAATAACATGTCTATATGTGTAACACTTGTTCCAGGTATTACTTAATTTATTTAAGATCTAGGGTTTTTGTGTGTGGACTTGGCGAGTTGGGAGTCCAACTCGTCGAGTAGAGGGCATTTCAAGGGCGCGGGATCTACACCCTACTCGACGAGTAGGCACTGTAATGATAAAACCCTAATTTTAGGGTTTGCACCCTATATAATATCCTTAAGAGCCTTGAGGCTGACCTCCCATCAGCCTCCAAACCCTAAGAATGTATGTGCTAACCCTAATTCCCATTCTCTTCCATTTTGTGAACTAGAGTGACTTTGAAGCTTAAGAAGAAGGAGATAGTGAGAAGATCCATCAAACCAAGCACCATCCTTGAGCTTGACCATCTTGTGGACTACTGTAAGTCTTCAAGACTCGATTTTTATCATAGAATATGGCTAGATCTTGAGTTTACTCTTCATTTCCTACCCTTCTTGTTGATTTCATGCATAGGGTTCATAAAGTTTGCAAATTTATGAATCTCCAAGGCAAAATGGTCCCAAGGTGGGCTAGATATGGCCTTTGGTCGAGCAAGGGCACCATGCAAGGGTTTTTAGGGCATATTTCCATCTTTTTGGCCATTTTGACCTAGGGACATGCATTGGACATGCATGCTCATAAAGCCTCCATCTTTCAAACGTTTTGAGGACTAGGAACTTTTCTGGAAAGGAGGGATTTCAGATCCCTAGAGTTTTGAACCATATGGCAAAACCTTTGAGCTTTCTAACCTTTGTTAAGGGCCTTAGAACATTTGGAACGGTTCTAGAAGGTAAAGTTGGAAACTTTATCCTTCTAGACACCTTAGGGATTCAGATATAAGCCTTGGAGTCCTTGGATTCGGTGTATCATCACAACAAGCAAACAGGAAGGGGGACTCGACGAGTTGCTCTAGGAACTCGATGAGTCGGGTCGGGTTTCCACGCCTTTTGAATATCAAGTGAACTCGTCGAGTTGACGAAACAACTCGGTGAGTTGGCTAGGGTTTGATCAGGTTATCTGGACTCGGTAGGAACTCGACGAGTTGCTAGATGCACTCAACGAGTTGTGGTCAACATGGATTGTTGACTTTGACTTTGAACAAGGTTGACAAGGGTTGACCTTGAGGGTAATTCTGGGATTTTGGCAAGTCTATCTTATGATGCTTACAAGCAGTTGAGTTGGAGCAACATGTGGGATATATCTGATTCTAGCATTGTCAGTTTTAGCATTTGAGAGAGACGAGTCTTTTCATCATACCAATGGCTCTAAGGCACCAAGGCCGACCCATTTTATGTTATGTGGTACACTAGCGTTTGTAGAGATATGCGGTATGATAGTTAGCTTTGCGCTAAGTAGTATGCTAGTGATTTTATGTTATTTCATGGAAGACCTCGGGGGAGCCCGTGGTAGCTGGATATAAGACCATGTGGGGTATCCCATGGCACGATGGTATAAGACCCTAGGGGAGCCCACAACATCCTTACAGATTTATATATGTGTATGTAGTATGTTAGACACTTCTGTGATATGATATGCTAAGTTGATTATGTATGTTATTGCATGAAAGACCCCGGGGGAGCACGTGGCAGTTGGATGTAAGACCATGTGGGGTATCCCATGGCATTCCTAGGTAAAGACCATGTGGGGTAGCTCATGGCACGATAGTGTAAGACCCTGAGGGAGCCCACAACATCCTTACAAATTTATGTAGACATGACTTATGTGGTATATGTAGCTTTTATAGCTAATATGATATGTGTTACGTGGATTGTGTGTGGGGTATGCTCTAGGGAACTCACTAAGCATTAACTTACAAGTTGTGGATTTGTTTTAGGTACATCGGATCCCAAGGGCAAGGGCAAGGCGTGATAGCGTGACGTGCACTCTTACACATGCGTTTTATGGTACACTTTGATATTTTAAATAAAAGTTGTAATTGATATGAGTTTGAAAACAGTTATATATGGGATTTTGTAATTTATGGAAATGTGTTTGGATAATCAAAAATGAAAATTTTCCTTTGAAAAATTGGGTCGTTACAAGTTGGTATCAGAGCCTTTGTTTGAGGGATTCGGGCACACTCTTGGGTGTGTCAGTACTCAAACTAAGGAAATGGTAAAATTGTTTTCAAAAAAAAAAATTAAAAATATTTTAAGGAAATGAAAAGATGAGAGTGCAACGTGTGTGATCAACCGAGCCAAGTAAGTAGTTCTCCAAAGTGTTAGCCATGTTATACTGATGTTTGAGCTTTGTTAATCATGTGGAATTTGCTATGTGTATGCTTTTAAAATTGTATACGGTTAGGAGCTTATAGCCTCAGAATGATTGATTTGGCCTTATTTCCTGTTCCTTGTTTGGTTGTGGTCCTAGGGTATAATCTTTTATTTAAAAGTCTATTTGATCCTTTATTGTGTATAATTTGCATGCATAAAAGCAACCAGTTATGATTGGTATGGGTAAAGAAAATCTTAGGACAACCTAGGATTTGAGAGGTGCGGTAATATGTGGAATGTGATTTATTCTGGGACGAATTGAAGTTGTTAGGTGGAGCATTGGGAAAGGTACAGGTAGGTGTGGAAGGTAGTATTGGGCCCATACTACTGAAAGCATAGGGCCTGTACTCGAACCAATGTTAGATATGACGACTCCAAGGATTACCAGTGTGGGAAGATCCCCTTTATGAGTATCCTATTGGCTATGATTTATCACATTTCAGTTCAGCATGGTGTTGACACGATTTGGAGCAGGGGATCAGGATCTGGATTTGGATCCGAGGTTGGATCAGGCGACATTACCCATGCCATCGATGAGAGGTTGTGTGAGCTTATTGCATCCGAGGTTACTAGGGGTATCCTTAAGGTTACCCCAGTCATCTTTGGGATGGTCAAGGAGGGTATGATGAAGATTATGGAAGAGAGGCTCAGGGCATTCAGATCCGAGATTGCTTCAGGCCAGGTTGGGGCCCGAACTCCCTCATTCCGGGAGTTCAAGGCATGCGAGGCGCCGGAGTTTTTTAGGGTTAGGGACCCCATTGTTAGCCGATGCTGGGTGGCGGATACCGAGAATGCCCAGGGCACGAGTTCTTGCCCGGATGCGGAAAAGGTGGGATTTGCTTCTTGCATGCTGAGAGATAGCGCCCAAGATTGGTGGGGCGAGGTTACTAGCCAGGTTGGAGCAGCCGTTGTGGTTGAGATGACATGGGCCGAGTTTGTCCTTCGATTTGATTTGGAGTTTGCACCAGCCATTGAGGTGCAGAGGATGGTGAGGGAGTTCTAGGAACTCCAACAGACCACCGAGACTATTGCAGAGATCACTACCAAGTTTTGTAAGCGAGCATTGTTGATTCCACAATATGCTACTGATGAGGATATATGGAGGATGAAATATCATTCCATGCTGAGGGATGATGTCCAGGAGTTTACGAGCTTTACAGGGTGCAAAACCCTGAACGAGATGGTGGAGAAGGCCTGGGAACGGGAGATAGAGTTAGACTTTTGCACCAAGCGGAAGCCGGAGCAGGCACATGCAGCGGTGGGTCAGGCTAAGAAGCCTAAGACCTCGACACTTCCAGAACGGGCCAGAAGGGTCGGGGCTGGTGTTCCTGGTGCGGTAAATCGCACAGTGGGACTTATCGAACAT